CCTCCCCCCCGAGTCCGCTACCAGGTAAAGAAATGTTGCCATTTCTTTTCTGGACCAGTTATGAACATTGTTTGCTAGTTGGGATTTTCCAGTAGCATCATGGCAGAGAGGATTTGGGGATCACCTACTAAGGACAAACTGCTTGCTTGTAAAATAAAGGCCTCTTCCAGGATCCACGATCCTAGGAATTTGAATCCCCCCTGTCAAATACAAGGACTCTAAATATAGCCTTCTGGCTTTTTCCCCTGCTCTAAATATAGCCTTATGGCTTTTACCCTTGACTCTCTACTCATGTCACCATCTTTGGAAACTCTTTAGAAAGCCCAACACTCACAGGATCTGAATTGTCACGTTAAGCTCCAAATACGGAGCTTTATGATTAGTCTTAAAACTGTTCCCAGAGCTTTGGTTTCCTGCACCTTTTCTTTGATATTTAAGTCATATTGCCTTTTGTCATCCCTAGAACAGAATTTGGTGCCTCCCAGGGCCATCCCTACTATATTAGATCCGAGCTGTATGTATTTACACAGTAATAACCCTACTACTACTGTTATTACAATTAAACCCTAACATCCTCGAGTGCCAGTCATGTTCCCGGAATATGCTAAGAGCTTTGCCCACATTAATTCACTAAATTTGCTGCAACCTTATGAGGAGGTACTATTATTTAAGCCATTTTTTAGAAATGAGGAAACTTGGTGGGGGTGGTGGAGGGATTGAGAAAAACACCAAAAAAAAAAAAAAATAGAGAAAAAACTCAGGGACAGAAACAACAGTAAGGGCGCGGGGATTGCTGGGGGAGGGTGGGGAGTGAAGCGGAGGAGGGAACAGGGGAGACTAATGGTGACCGGCGGGGACCCGACTTGGGGTGGAGAGCACCCGGTATGGCGCACAGGCATGGGCTGTGGAGTCTGCACCTGAAGCCTGTATACTTTTGTTAACTAGTGTCACCCCAATAAATTCAATAAAAAGGGGGGAAGCCCCAGAAATGCTCCTTCTGGGAAATAAAAGTTGTCAATTTCCATCAAGCAAGCTTAACAGTGTGGTGAGAAAGAATAAAATTGTTTCATCATATCCCCCCCAAAAATATAAAGAAATAAAAATTTTTTAAAAACACACACCCAAAAGCAACGAGGAAACTGAGGCCCGGGAGTTAGACGGTTTGTAAGCGGTCGAGCTGGTTTCCACTCAGCCCTCTGACCGCGGGCTCGGAGCTTTAGGCGGCTGTGGTCTGACGCCCCGCGGGCCGCCTTCTTAGCTGGGCCGCAGCTCGCCTCGGGGCCTCTGGGCCGCAGCTGTCGGCAGCAGGTGCTCACCTCTCGCTCTTCAGTTGCAGAACCTGAGCAGACTCGGAGGCCAGAGTGAAGCCTGACGCCGCCCCGAGGGGCCGCCCCAGCACGCCCCCCAGCACGGCGCGGGCCCTCCTGTGTCGAACTCCTGCAGGGACCCCTGCTGGCCCAGTGTGACGTGGCTCATTCACCGCAGGGTCCCTGGGCGAGATTTGCTGACAACTTTTTTCTCATTTGTGTTAGTGAGCAGCTTGCTTCATTGAGTAGGTTGTTTTATAGTTATTTTATAAAGTTGGTATGCATTTATTTTGTTTGTTGTCTGTTTTTCAATTCTCACCCGAGGATATTTTTCCATTGCTTTTCAGAGAGAGTGGGAGGGAGAGAGGAACATCGATGTGAGGGAGACACATCGACTGGATGCCTCCCGCCCGAGCCCCCCCAGGGCGGGGAGAGCCCCAGCCTTGGTACGTGCCCTTGGCTGGGATGGGCCTTTCAGTCTGTGGGCCGACTCTCTAACCACTGAGCAAACCAGCCAGCGAGGAATGCATTTAGCTTTAGTGTCCTGAAAGGTAAACATGAGCTTATTTCCTTCCCCCCAGTGTCCTGTGTTGTTTGATTTCTCTTTTGTTGTAAGTTAATTTGTAAAACTGGGAAACACTTTGTCATGAGAGGTTTAGCACATTTGCAAACCATTTGTAAAAACCCGGGTCATCTGTAGCTAATATACAAAAAAAACTTAGCAAATTGCCATTTTCCCTTGGAGGGGGGGGGGAACCCAACCAATTAAATATCAATAAGGTTAAATGTTATTTTATGGGCTATGATGGGACATTCACAGAAAATAAGTCAAACAAAAACAAGTGGCAAACTAGAAACGCTTGCTCTCTCTACTTTTCCATGCAAGGCCATCTTCAGGAATATTTTCAAGATAGCTGGCGTCCCAGTGGAACCAAGTTCTTCACCTTAATCTCTTTTGCTGTGAATACTGGAAATGCTTAGGAGATCTTAAGCCCTGATACCCCTAATTTCCACATCCCCACCCCATAAAACCTCTGCATTCAGCTGAATTTTTATTAGAGCCTGAGAATGTGGAAGTTGCACATTTTATATTTTTTTCACAGATACGATTTTTAGATGAGAAAATACCACCAGCAAGTGGTAATAGCTTTGTGCTATTATGATATAAGTAAGATTACAGTAGTTGGATACCTTCCTGTTTCACAGAGACACTCAATGTAACATGATGCACGTATCTCTGTATATTTATATATGGATGTTTCTGAAGTGTGTGCGTGTGATTTTTCCCTAAACAGTTAGAAGATACAGCTGTCATCCTAGTCAATGCTGGCTTTGTACTGAAGATTGAGCATGTTAAGCAGGTTATATCGTGAAGGAACCACAGTTCTCTATTGATTTCAAGTACTCTCTGTGAATTCTCCCCAGCCTTATATACCCAGCTCAGCTGGCCTCTCTCCAGGGCTATGGACTTAGGTATCCAAGACGCCTGCCAGACACCACTGGGAGATTTTACATGACCGGCAACTTGTTAAAAACGAACTTGCCTCTCTCACCTTTGTATGTCCTCATTCTGGCTAAAGGTACCATTATTTACCCAGCACTCAAACCAGAAATCCTGTGGTCATTCTATGTGACGCCCTCTCGCAAAGGCCTATGACGCAAACACAAATCCCCGTTGGTTCTGCTAATATTGCAGCGGGGGCCCCGGCCGTGCTGCTCCAAGGCGTCAGCGTCACCGCAGACGCACATGGCAGCCGCCTCCCAAATGCCGCCCCATTGTTTTCTGTGCCCTAAGCATGGAAATCTGACCCCATGACTTTTTAAAACCACCCACGTGTTCCCCTTAACCAGACTTTGTGTAGCACAGAGATGGTCAGTGATCTGACCATCTGACTTTGTAAATATGTTCATCTGCCATCCTGATGTTTGTTCCCTTTTACAAGACTCAGCCTGGGCCTGTTTTAGGGTTAGTCCGCCCATGGGAATTCTCCTTCTGGAGATGGCCTTCCTCTCCAGCGTGGTGGGATGGTGGGGATCCGAGCACCTCCCTCCCAGGGGCCCTGTTCTGTTGTGCAGAGAAAGCCGCTGTATCACTAAAAAGAACAACAGGACACGAAGCAAAGACACAGACAGAGATGGAGAGACAGAGTCCGAAGAGAGGTTCCGTTCCAGGGTCCCGACGGCTGCCTGGACCATTTTGAAATTTGGGTACTTAAATCAACAGCTCTGGCTGACGTTTATTTAAGCTGCAGTTCAGTCTCTTGCAACCAAAGGAGTGCGGACTCCGCCACCCCGCACCGCATGCACACGGCCCCGCCTCGGAAACCTTCGCACACGCATTCCTCTCTTATTTTAATAAAAGACCCGAAGAACCGTTCTTCAAGACTCCCCTTAAACAAGACTTTTTACCACATGTTCTCCTGACACCCCCGATTAGGCCGACCCTCATGTTTCGGGAGGCATCCCCCAGGAAGATAGTGTACACCTTAAACATTTATTTTGAGACAGAAGAAATGCCAGTGACTAGGCTTCGGGAGTAAAATTAGATGGTTCCAGTAGATGTCAGCATTTCTCCTTTACAAACAACAGCACAACCGGTTGTCTACAAAGAGCCACATTTTAGTATTTAACTGAGTCCCGCACGTCAAGTGTGATTCCGGCCCAGTGTAGCCTTCTTGGCAAAGGGCCTGATGTCTACAGTGTTGATATGTGTTTCAGAGAGAGGAATTCGAGCCTGGTTCAATGTCTGTTTAACTGAAAAAATGTGGAGAAAAGGGAACCCTAGTGCACTGTTGGTGGGAATGCAGACTGGTGCAGCCACTATAAAAAACAATATGTAGTTTTTTCAGGCCCGGCCGGCGTGGCTCAGAGGTTGAGCATCAACCTAGGATCCAGGCGGTCAGGGTTCGATTCCCGGTCAGGGCACGGGCCGGGTTGCGGGCTCGATCCCCAGTCNGGCGGTCAGGGTTCGATTCCCGGTCAGGGCACGGGCCGGGTTGCGGGCTCCATCCCCAAGNCGAGCCTGGTTCAATGTCTGTTTAACTGAAAAAATGTGGAGAAAAGGGAACCCTAGTGCACTGTTGGTGGGAATGCAGACTGGTGCAGCCACTATAAAAAACAATATGTAGTTTTTTCAGGCCCGGCCGGCGTGGCTCAGAGGTTGAGCATCAACCTAGGATCCAGGCGGTCAGGGTTCGATTCCCGGTCAGGGCACGGGCCGGGTTGCGGGCTCGATCCCCAGTCGGGGGCGTGCGGGAAGCAGCCGATCAATGACTCTCTCATCATTGATGTTTCTCTCTCTCCCTCCCTCTCCCTGCCTCTCTCCGAAATCAATAAAGACATATTTAAAAAAATATGTATTAAAAAAATGTAGGGTTTTTTTTTTTTTTTTCCCCAAAAAATCGAAAATGAAACTGCCTTTGGACCCAGTAATCCCACTTCTGGGAATATACCTTAAGAGTCCTGAAACACTAACTTGAAAGATATATGCACCCCTATGTTCATAGCAGAGTTATTGACTATAGCCAGGATCTGGAAACAGCCCAAACTCCCCTGGGTGGAGGAGTGAATATAAAAGCTGTGGTACGTTTACACAGTGGAATACTACGCGGCCAGAAAGAAAGAAAGAAATCTTATCTTCTGCGACAGCATGGATGGACCCGGAGGTTATTACGCTTAGTATTTCAAGGCAGTCAGACAAAGACTAAAGCCATATGACCTCCCTTATATGTGGAATCTAATGAACAAAATAAACGAACAAAATACACAGAGGCCTGGGTACGTGGAACAGACTGGCAGCTGTCAGAGGGAGGGGGACGGAGGAGCTGGATGAAAGAAGGGGGAGGGATTCCCCAAAGGATACACATGCTTAACCCCTAGACACAGCGGTGCGGGGATGGCCAGAGGGCGGGGGGACGGTGGCCAAAGGAGGGGGCAAAGGAGGGGAGAAGTGGGGGAATCAGAATAACTTTTTCCTCGCTGCAGCCTAGTCTCTCCCCAGTGTTTTCAACATCAAACCACTAATTCCTCCTGAAATGTCCCTTTCCTCCCTTTGCCCATGCCAATGACTTAAAATAGTCGTCTTCTTTTTTTCCACAAACATGGCATCGTTTCTTAGCTGTCTCTCTCCTGAAGCTCTTCATTATTCTGGTTCCAATCCTGGCTTAGTTCCCGCAGAGCCTGGGTCATGGGCATGATTTCCTGAGTCATGTGTCTCCCTCCCTCTTGGTTTACTCACTTGTTTTTACCACAGGCCACGGTCAAGGAGCTCCCCAAGAAAGAATATACCAGGAAAACGTTCCGAGACCACCCATGTCTGCAAATGTCTTTGTTCTACTGTCTAATGGGTCACAGGCTGGTTGGGTATGACATTCTAGGCTAAAATTTGTTTCCCCCAAATTTGAGAATGTTCTCTATGATCTTCTAGCATTAAACTCAGGTCATATGATTCGACAATCCTTCCAAAGTGATGTTTATTCTTCTTGAAGCTTGCTCATGTTGTGAAAGTCACAACATGACTTACTCATGTTGTGAAAATTTGAAAATATATGACCTGGTGAGATCTCTTTTTCATCTGCTGGACTGGGAACTTGAGTCATTTCAACCAGCAGAATAATGTATATTGACTCTGGGAGATTTGCTTGTATATTTAATGGTTAAGGGTGAGACTTCTGGCCCAGCTGGCATGGCTCAGTGGTTGAGCATTGACCAAGAGGTCACCAGTTCGATTCCCGGTCAGGACACATGCCTGGGTTGCATGCTAGTCCCCAGTAGGGGGGCTTCAGGGGGCAGCTGATGGATGTTTCTCTCTCATCCATGTTTCTATCGCCCCCCCCCCGCCCTTCCTCTCTCTCTAAAAATAAATAGAAATATATTTAAAAAGCAGAGTGAGAGTTCTGGACTACTGAAGCATACTGCTTGACATGAGGCAATTTTTAAATGTTTCTCTGTTCCTCAGTTTTATTACCTAAAAACTAAGATAATAATATAATCTACCCCATATATGTCTTACAGGATTAAATAATGTAGTGTGTGTAAAGCTTCCGGGACAATGCCAACCCTCTGTTCTTATTTTAGACTTCGGTTTACACAAAATGGGTAGTGTCTTGGATGGAAGACATTTATAGTTCACCAAAGAAAAGTTAAGCATGACAAATTAAAGAAAATACCATATATAATACAGAATTTGGTTAAGGAAATGAAACTGTGGCACTTTTTAATTCCTTAGGCTTTGTTACAAAGCACAATGGGTGAGAATTAATATTCACTGAG